TTTTTTTTTTTTTTTTTTTTTTTTTTTTTTTTGATTACTAAGCTTCTCTTGTCAAAATTTCTAAACAGTTTTTTTGCTGTAAGGCAGTATCATCTGTGAAATGTCCTCATTTAAGCTTTCCTCTCCTATGAAAGATGCAGGCAAAAGAGAAGTTGATGGAGGTATTTTGTAACAGACAGAAAGCTGATTGAAAAGTTCATTTGGTTGACAGTCTATCAAAAAGTTGTTTTAAATAGTTGGCAAAAAAGTATTTTGAATTGATGAAAAAGAGCAGCAAAAAAAATCAGTAATGCTTTCTTCAAAAAAAGGTAGTTTGCAAAATTTATGGAGTTGTGAAAAGGTAGAAAAGCTTGGAAACTAGAAATCATTAAGCAAAAATAGTAAAGCCTTTCTTTAGGGAATACAAAATCTAGTTGTTTCCAGAGAACTCAGTTTAATTTGTTTGACAGCTGAGGAAAAGTGATGAAATATTCAAAGCCAAGAGTAAAAACTTCTATTCATATCCTAATTAAAATCAATGAAATTAGTTGGCATTTATAACTAAAAAGACTACTTTTTTGAGTATTAATGACTGTATAGTCAGAATGTTTTTCATTATCTAACAGTTACGTTGTATAACAGATTAGGTGCTTGCTTGTCGTCGTTTTGTTAAGTGATTAACGGGAGTTGATTTTGAAAGGTGTTTTATTTATAATACCAGTAAACAAGAAAAGCTGGCCATATTTATACACAGTTAACTTCAACTCGTTATTTACAGATAACTTTGATCTTAAATCTTCTTTCATTTTTCAGAAAATTGAAAAAGAATGGATAGAATAAAGTGATAAATCACAGTTATCGACAGTAATTTAAAATAATTTAGGACCGAAAGCGCTTGATAACGAAGTAAATTATCGCAAGATAATTTAAATCATCCTCGAAAGCGCTCTCAGGCGCCATGCTTTGGTTGTGGACCCTTATACGGTAGAACTAATTCTCGAGCTGATCGATGGCTCTTTTCGCAAACTCTAAAAATTTTTGCAAAAATTAATAAATTATGATAACAAATAAACCGTTTGCTGCATTCATATTTTATATCAATCTGTTTCTGACAGGAGTAAATTGTTACTTCGACGTAGGCATATGCCAGCAGAGGGTGTGAAAGCTGGTCCACAAGTACAAACACCGCTGTGGCATATAGCACCTGGAACACACGGAGCAGCTGCTGGGACGCATGGAGCACCTACAGCAACAGGTACTACTGGTGGAGGTGCTGCAACAGCTACTGGAGCAGCAACAGGAACAACCACTGGTGGTGGTGGTGGTGGTGGTGCGACAACACCGTAGATAGTTCTGGCAACACATACTTCTCCTGAATTTTTATTGGTTCTAGTTTTTTAAGATAAATTTTATAAGAAAAGTTGAATACCAAAACAATTAAATGATTAAAAAAAGTGAAAAAGATATTTTTCTCACCTTCTTGAACAAGCTCGGGAGGACATACGCAGATTCCAGCTGAGCAAACACTACCGCCAGTACACTCTACTCCAGGCTCACAAGGAGCTCCAGGAAGAGCCTGAAAATCACAAGAGCAAGAAGAATGCTATTTCAGTTTTCCTGCTAGTTTCCCTCTAGCTCAGCTAAGTTAGCTTTATTTTGTAAACATACCTGTGGAACAATTCGCCTAGCAACTACCGGTGGTGGAGGTGGAGGAACACAAACTGCTTTTACACAGCTAAATAGCTATTTGTATCATGTTGGTTTACAAAATGTGAGTAATTTTCGGATAGAAATCCACTGGCAAAGAAGTTTAAATTTTTAAAACTATCAAAAAAGCAACTTGTCATTGTATTTTATATAAAAGACTTATTAACATACACTGTTGGTGGAGGGCATGCCGGCATACATGCTGGAACAACAGGTACGACTGGAGGTGCAGGAACAGCTGGAACTACTGGAACAACTGGAGGTGGAGGGACAGCTGGAACTACTGGAACAACTGGAGCTGCATGAACTACTGGAGGTGGAGGAACAGCTGGAACTACTGGGGCTACTGGAACTACTGGTTCTACTGCGGCTACCGGAGCTACTGGAACGTATGCTGGTGGTGGTGGTGGTGGTGGTGGTGGTGGTGGAGGTGGTGGTGGTGCGCAGCCAACAATTGGACTGTAGACTACTGGAGTTGGACAAGTGCAAACTGTTTGCACACACCTGAAACAATAATTCTCATTCAAATTTTTACTTAATTGTTCTCATTATGCTTACACTGCTGGTGGTATGCAGGCTGGAACGCAGGCTGCTGCAGCTAATGGTAAGTAGGGAGCTGGTGGAGGATGGACTGGATATGCTGGGAGAACAGAAGGAGGAAGAAGTGGGACGGGAAGAGGTGGAGGTGCTAATGCAGGAATCGCAGGACCATAAAGTGGTGCTGAAATTTGAGTTTCGTTTAACAAGTTTGATTGTTTAACGGGAATTTTTATTTGGTAAAGTGGTTTACAAAACAAATGCAATACGCAATTGATTGTTTTATAAAGCTTTTAATAGATACCGTTTTTGATGCTGTTATTGAAAAACTTTTTTTTCTTTCTCAAGTTCAGAGAACGTGATAAAGAATGTTTAGAAATTTATATTATCATCAATTCATTCTGTTTAAATCCATACTGT